TCCGCGGTGTAAACTACGATCCTCATTCATTTTGGGGATCCTCGTTCAATTTCCATGTGGAATGAGAAGTGGGGTGTTCGATTTCCGACGCAGCCGGGTAGGACAGCACCAGCCAAGCCTGCCTGGTGGGCTCCGCTGGTGTTGTTGTGGCGGGTGCCGTTTCAGGAATAATTAAAACTGACCTGCCACTTCAAGGATAAGCGGTCTTTGATTAAAGAATTAATCAGTTGTCTAGATTAAAAAAGCCGTGTTTAATTGCAGAAGCGTAAAAGCACCCGGCTGCTTTCTTTTGTTAGGCGTATTGAGTAGTATCTTCATTTACATCAGGAACAGAATAAACAGAAGCCAGCATCAATGCTGTGGGTAAATGGTGTTTTATTACAGCTCAAGGTAAAGGGGGTTTCGATACGTATTCTGGGTCAAATAAGATAATGATTCTTTTTGTAGTTGTCGCTGTGGCGAGATATCCCTCCATAATGAGGCGTGGATCTGCCGTGGGGAGATCAAGTCGTTCTTCTTTCTCTTTGCTGTCGTGGTGATGGGGCATAAAGCCCGGTCTGGAGTACCATCTGTATTTCTCAGTGGGATACGGCTTTATTACCGTGAACATTCTCAGAGGAAGTGTGTTGCCTCGAGATATCTTTGTCACCTTCTTTCTGTTTTCTGCCTCTTCATCTCGGCCCTCAAGTGAAACGAGAATCAGAGCGAGAAAATGAAGTCAAATATGTTCTGGACACATGCGACTAAAGACACTCAAAGATGTTATCTTTTTCAATTAAATCTTCTGACAAGATCTTATTTGAGGGTAAAAAAAAACAATGAAACGTTTGATGGCTTCAGTAGAGCTTTCTCCACATCTTCCCTATAACGCCTCGAGCACCTTTATGTGGCTGCCTTTATGTTTCTGCAGCTTTCGCCCACGTCCATTTCCCAGCGTAGTCCTTTGATAGGCGCTCGGGGGAGGGCGGTGCCCACAGACAAAGGTGTAATGGTCTGACTTGTGTTTGTCCAAGGGTTTAACATAGGGTGAACATTAATCGCGCATTGTGAAATGATGGATTGAGCCATCGGTCCGTGGTGCGCTCGCGAAACACTCCGTACGCTGGTCAGGTTAGTTTTTATGCTCCATCACATGTTTCTGCATTACAGGGTGAATTCTTAAACTGAAGCTTGACTTAAGCACAACGAAGTTTCATGTAGTTTAGCTTCTTCTCACTCGTAGCTCGGGCTGCGGGGTGGCTTAGAAGAGGGGAGCACGCTTGATTGCGACCTTCCGTAGCCGGAGATATGGGCCGCACATTTTACATATAAACTTCTGTTGGGTCGCTTAAAAATAAATATCGCAAATCGAATTGCAATATCTGTCAGAAAAATCGCAATTAGATTATTTCCCCAAATCGTGCAGCCCTAGTTTAACACCAAAATCTGGTACTTTTCATAATTTGGTTTAAGAATAAATATGTAAAGAAAGTAAAACTATTGCCCATGGGAAACTCGGACGCAAGAAACATGGAGCCTGGCAACTGGCATGGCTGCAAACTCTTATCACACATTTGGATAGGGAAGAGCAATATGACAAGACATACCATGAGAAGGGTTGATTCATTGAGGAATCATTGGATACTTTCTATACACAATACTCCCGTGATTGGTGGTAAACAAAACTAATACCAGGGTCAAAGTTCCGTTAAGCGAGCTGTTGAGCATCGTAGTTGGCAACAATCAAGTTATAAGAGCAATAAACTGTGCTAGAATGCGAAATTACATACGAATCAGAAGCGTGTCCTTCCCCACTTTCAGTAGCTCCATGAACGCAGCATAGTAATTGGCTTGGTTTGCGTCAGAATCGAATATCGTAGCTATTAGTCCACAGGGGATAGCATTTACATTTAAATACTAGGGCTGTGCGTGTTGTTAGTCTGACCGCTGCAGGAAGGAAGGACCTGCGGTATCTCTCCGTGAGACAGCCGGGATTGTGCGTCAGTTCCACAGAACAACTGCTGGCTGGTTGCGGGATACTTATTTCACCAATTCTAGCACAGCGTTTAGTTGCGCTTAATACCTTGAATGTTGCCATCGATGGGTCAAACAGCTGTTAGAACGCTTTGGACGCTGGATCCTAGTTGTTGTAACTCCATGAAGGCAACATGACAACGGACGGGAGGCCTGTCACTCAGGATGCCAAACTACTCCTTTGGTAAGCCCCGCCCCAAGGCAC